CTCGCGGTGACGTCAGGGCCAGATGTTTTCCCAGGCCACGCCCCCGCAGGGGTCCGGGCGACTCCGAGGAACGATAACGGGGAACGCTTATTCTACTGTCACAACGCAATGGAAGGGCTGGGGAAACCGCATCGTTATTTTATTGCGTTGTCGAAAAACCAGCATTAATTCATACTCCAAGCAACAAGCTGCCAGTGCCAGGATCTATCTGCTCTTCTTTTTCTCTTCCATTGGACTTCCAACGCTTTTTTGATTTAGGGACAAGCTGGGTGTGATCGTCACGAACAAAGTGTGTTTTTGATGGCTGCTAGATCAGCCTTTACTTCTACAAAGAGATCCTAAGAAATAAGAGAGGGAAAAGTCTGCTCACATAATCTTTTTAAAAAGGAAAAGAGCAGTGCTGTTGGGTTTTTTCCTCTTCTGTTTGGATTTCTTTTTAAACTTACGAAAAATGGCAACAGCAGCATATGTGGATCATTTTGCAGCAGAGTGCCTTGTTTCTATGTCCAGTCGTGCTATTATCCATAGTCCCAAAGGGGACCCTGATCCCCAACCTGATGCAGCAATACCTCCTTCATCAAATGGAGAAGATAAGCGAGAAGTCAGAGAAATCGGGAAAGACAATGGATCATCATTACTTGTGGTAGCTAGCATTTTAGCAGATCTGAACCAGCATGTCCCAAACTCACCCGCTCTAAGGATGGAAGAAACAGAGACCTTTGATATCACAGAACAAATACACATTTCTATTGCTCCTCAGGAGTTTGGGGAAGAAAGTGTGTCTTCGGCTGGTAAGCGTGGAGGAGGAAGAGCAGCCACACCTACTAGCCTGGCTGCAGTAACTGAGCCAAGCCCCAGACAAAAGAACAAACGCACGAGAAGCTGGACTGACCCTGGATCACCCCAGAAAAAGCACAAATGCCACTATGTGGGGTGTGAAAAAGTTTATGGCAAATCTTCCCATCTTAAAGCTCATCTAAGGACCCACACAGGTTAGTTACAATCCAGCCAGAGATTTATTTGTTACAGCTTGGTAATTAAAATGAATGTTGAAAAAACAAAACCAAACAAACTTATATTTGGCCACCATTATGGTTTCACCTCTCAGAACTCAAGCTTGGGAAAACCAAACAACAACAACAAAAAAACCCCTCTGGGAATAAACCCTTAGTGGGCATTGATTCAAAGCTAATGTTGCCCTTTTCTATTACTTAATGTCACAGGGAATGGTGTGTGGGTCATCTGTATGGGTTGTACCAGGCTGTAATTTTTAGCTGCTAGCCTTCTCATTTGGTGTGCCTTCTACTTCCCTTTCCAATGCCTCTTACCCTCCCCCATCTACTTTTTCCTACCCTATGCTCCTGTTACTACCTTTATACCAGCTTACCACGTTCCATGCAAGCAGCAGTACTTTTGATATTTTAAAATTAAATGTTCTAGAGGCACCTGAATAACTGTGTCTGTTTCTTTCTTTAGCAGACACTTGTGTGAAAGCTAGAGTAGGCAGGAAGGCAGTTGAGAGGCTGAACATGAGTCACAAGGAGACATTTATCGTAACTGTAGAGAGAGGGGGACATGGGTAGTCTCAAAAAATGCTTTTGGCAGCTAGGTAAAACGAATTTCAAAATACATTTGAATGGAAACACTAATTTGTTCTGATCATTGTTCAGTGTTTACTTGTTGGTGATGACTTATCTGATCACTTTTTTGTTGCTATTGTAATTAGAGACACATAGAAAAAGTGGAAGTCCTGCAAGCACTGTGAAAGTTATGCACTGAACGTTCTAAGAGGGCCATCTTGAAATAAGGCCCCATGACTTGCCAGACCTCGTGCCTCTGCCTGGTGCTGTGGAACGGGATGACTTCCAGTCAGACAGGGAGCACCACAAACTGAGGAGACGGATCTCTGCTGAAGGCAGTGATCGTAACACATATGAAGAGGCACCACACCGACTAGAGCAGGCTTGTGCAAGCTGTTCCACTGAGTAATTTCAGTCAACTAATTAGTTTACTAAGATCTACGGTCAGTTCACTCATAAAGAACATCAAGAAAAATAGCCTCAGAACTAAACGTGACTTAATGACTCTTGAACAGTTTTAGCTCAGAGGTGGCAGCCTCACCCACACCGGCCATACCTCTTCACTGTGCCTTCAGCTTTTCTTGCTGCCTTCCCGAGATAAAGCAGGAACCCTTCTAAATTCAGGGTATGCTTTGCTCACCGTGAGAAAGAAGAAAGCCCCATCGAGTATAGGGATGGACAATTCCCTGTGCCGTACAGCCAAAGGAACAGTGTGTTCCTGGCACCCCAGGCAGTCTGCCCTGCTTTGCGCTGTGTAACTAATTTTTGCCTCCTTGGGAGTTTTGCAGAAAAGGTGCTTCCACTTGGCTTGCTCCATTAATTTTCAGTTCTTTTGCTTCTTATTTCTGGCATTTGCCATTGTCCTAAAAGTGAAAGATAAGTTTAGCTATGTTTCTGGGCTCCCAAATCAACTAGAGACTAGGAAGGGGAACTCCTGTCCCCGATAGAGAGAGGAGGGCTGGGCCATGCCCGCCCTGCGGGGAGAGGAGGGAGGGGACGGCAGGGCCGGGGGGGAGTGTCGCTCCGCGCTGCCGGTTGAGCCGAGTCATTCGGGGACGCTGGCTTGCCTCCAAGTTCTCTGGTTTTTTTTTCCCTTGTCCCCCCCCCCTTTTTTTTAACTCTTCATTTCCCGTATTTTTTCCAGGTCTGTAGGGCTTAATTGGTTATGGCTGTAGCTAGTGGCACTGAGAGAAGACAGCGTGTGCGTGTCTGTGAGAGCGAGAGGAAAAGCAGGGAAGGGACTGGTTTTGCCCTGGGAGTGGCCAGACCCTCGGGGACTACAGCTTCTTTGTTTTCTTGTGTCTCCAGTGTCTGTGTGGGAAGCTTTAAAGAAAGCTGCCAAGTTTCCCTCCTCACTGGCAACAGGTCTGTCTCTGTTTGGATTGAGTTTTAAACAGGCTTAAATGCCTCTTACTCCTCTTGCAGAATGTTTTCTAAGGTGTTTGAATTTTTTTTCTTTCTTTAAAAGAAGTTGCAACAGGATTGGAAAAACTTTATATGACACTAGGAGTTAAGCTAACAGGACAAGCGATGACTTCCAGAACTAGCAAATATCCAGTAATGGGTTTTAGTGAACCCACATAATAGGTTTTACTGGTGTAGAACAAGGGGGTTGGGTCTCCTCTGCTTTCCAGTGGTCCTGAACTAGTTAAGTACCATGCACACATCAGTCTGCCCCTCTGTCAAATGGATAGGGTGATGGCAGTCCACCTCACCAAGCAGTGGTGAAAGTACTCCTAGTACACATGTAAGGTGCTTAAAACAACTACCCCAGTAACTCCCAAACCTGTTTACTAAGAAAAAATCAAAAACTTCTTCCATGTGCTGTATGACTAGATGAGCTGGTATTTAGGGGTGAACAGAAAGCTAAGGACAGCACTGCAGGCTAGAAGATACTGATGATAGTGCTAGAGATTTGAATAGTGCAGTTTATGACTTTAGAAACTTACTTGTCCTTGTCTGCTACTGTGCTTAGAAACTAAAGGCTTTGCTTTTCAAGCTTGGAGGAAGGATAGACTACATCATTTGGCTTATGGTCTAGCAAAGAGATACAGAGCCTTCCAAGTACTATTGGGTCAAACCCAGCCCACATTGGTAGGGAATGAAAGCTGGTACTATTTTTCCAGCTGTTTGGTGCCCTGTGTGAAATCCTTCTGATAGTTACAGCCAGATTTCAGTGCTCAAATGTCCAAAGCAAAAACCATAGTGCAGAGGATGCTAATTATGCTATTTAAAGCAGAAGAAACAAGATGCAACAGCCAAGGAAGCAGCATCTGCCTTTTGTCCTTAGGCCCTTGCTCCTAGTACAGTGTTTTAGAATAACGTTCTCTATTAGACCATGATGTGCTAGAGCAATCCATAGTTTCTCATATTTGGTACACAAGCAGTTAAGCTATCTCAACCTTATGAATGTTTCATCTTTATTAAATCGACAAACCCTTGAACCACACAGAAAACATTAGTCACCAAAATCTTTGCTGTTCTCTCCACCAGCTTTCAAACCCTTCCCCTCCCCCTATGTTTCTTTTCATGTTTATGTTTTCCACCCTGCTCTCTCACTGGATGTTCTGGAGTTCAACATGATCATCAGCCACAAAGCTCTTGAAGTTTTAATGTTTACCAGAAGCTTATATTTAGTGTCAGTGGGTAGATGTCAAGTCCAAATTCTTTTCCACTGAGGTTCCTGTGGACCTCAGAAGCTGTGTTGTGATCCACAGATGCAGCACCATTTGTCTCAGGCTACACTGATCCCATTGATAGAAAAATTTCACTGGCATACCAGTTTTAAAAATCCTCTCCACTCCTGAGAAAATTCCTAAACACAAAGGACTTTCAGATATGTGACAAAGTTCTGCTTCCTCTAAGCAGGTTTTCAGCATGAGGTCACTAGGAAGGTTTGATTATTCTCTGGAGTCACTATAAACCAGTTTGTCTCTTTTGATACACCAATGGGAAAAGACAGTGCAGAGCGTAATAGCCATCTACAGGCTACAACCTCATAAAGCAGTCCAGGATTGCTATGTTCTGAGAGGGTGTAGGGAGCCCCAACTTACTGTATTCTACTACATGTTTATATGTAGAGAAAAACTGACTGGATTTTGGGCAGGGATCACAAGAATCTTACGTATCATGGCCCCCACCCCCTGCCCCAAATCACTGTGACCTCTCAAGCTTTTAGCCATCTTCATTAGCATGCCATCATGAGCACAGGGAAAGCACAAAATAAACCTTCATTTGATACCATTGAAATGTGCTTCTAAACTTACTAGTTCTACTCACTAAGCAGTACCTCATAGCACAGAAACAGCTCTTCAATCATCAGAACTAAATGTCTTTGCACAAATTCGCATAAGCTAAGGAGATGTGGGCACCAGTCTCAGTCTGGAGCCTTACTATAATACAGTCTCGCAGTGAAACAAACTTAGGGGCCAGCTGGCTTAACAGTAGCTCCTCTGTACTGTTGCTAAACTAACAAATTTGTATGTGGCTGTCAGGGCACAGGAAGAAGAGAAGGCCATCCTAACTACGTTGTCCTTACTCGTAGATGTCAGGTTAGGACTCTTCCAAGAGAAAGTAGTCAAGACTTCTGTTGGTCTCTAGCTAGCAGAGTGAGCTTGGGCAGCTACATATTCAGCCTGCTTAACCTTGCAGTTATGTAAGATATGTTATTTGGTACCTGTTGTTCTATTTAGTCTAACTCTTACTCATTAAATATTAGTTGAGCTGAAACAGGTAGAAAAGACTGACTCATTTCCATTCACCTGTAAAGAAATTTCAATTTCTTTACATTAAATCTCTCCAACCACATTTTTGATGACAACCCTAATGAACCCATATGAATAAAAGTTAAAAACATCAGTTTATAACTGGGGTATGTTAAGATGAAGATATTCATAATGTATTTGGTATTTGAAAGCAATCTGAGAAATAAAGCAATCAGACCTCACTGTGACAAGTATGAGAACAGCAAAGAATTAGGCTGGACAAGCTGGAGTAGTATTTGGCCTGAGTTTAGGTTGGTAAAGAGGCCTTTGTATAAAGTACAGCTAATATATTTTAAACAGTAGGTTGGTTTTCACTTTCATTTCTAGTACGATTTCCTCCAACTACATTAATTCAGAACGCAGCACTAAGCACAACTTCTTTGAGTTGGTCTGAATCAAGGCGCTGCCTGTGTGTGTGAAGAAATGGACTAACCAATGCAACCAGAAGCAAGTTCACATATCAGTGAAATAAAATTTATCTTCCATTTTAGCACCTGGCAATTACCAGAAACTTAGCCAGTTTGCTAGAAAGTGAGGACTAGACTTGGCTCAGGTTTCCTTTAGGTTGCCTGTAGGCACACAGTGACTCTAGAAGGGATATACACACGTATGTGTGGCAAGCGGGCAGTGTTTGGGAAGATGAAGACC